CAACGCGGGGGCGTCCCCTGTCCGTAGCTCCTCCCCCCTATCCTTTTCCCTCCAGGTCTCGGCTCGAGGGTCTCTGACCCAGAGCTCAGCCGCTACGCGAAGCCCCCAGCGCAGCTTTCAGCTTTCTCCGCGCATGGCGAGACTGGATACACCGCATCCCGTGGTGTGACAGATTCGCGTTACCTCTACATCGCTGCGGGCGCCGCACTGGTTCCTGAGAGCCCTCGTCGAGTGCGTCATGTATGCCTGCAGCCTAGACCACCAGGCAACAGCCGCCAAGCCTCGTGTCCAGAGAACCTCCTCGTGCGCCAGGAGGCTTGCACCGCTGCTCTCCACAACAGTGGCGGCGCAGACCAGGCTGCAGTCTGCGACGAGCTTGTCCAAAAGCACCCAACCGACCTCAAAACCGTTTACCAGCAACACCGCTCCGAATAGCCTCGGTTCACGAGCGAGCTGATGAGATTGTGCAGGCAGTTCAAGATCCGCTAGCCCTCACATGTAACGCGGGGGCCAGCCGTGACCCACCAGGATTCCTGGCCCCGGCCGCCCAGACGGCCCCAGAGGGCCCCAAGACGGCCCAAGAGGGCCCGTAGAGGCTCCCACTAAATCGGCAAGTGGGCCCCAAGTGGCTCCCAAGAGGGCCCCACGAGGCCCCAAGGAACGCCCCGAGACGGCCAGAGCCCTCGAAGACGACCCAAACAGGGCCCCAGGACGGCCCAAGAGGACCCCAAGAGGGCCCAACAGGGCCCCAACAAAACCCGCAAGAGTGCGCGGATACGCCAAGCTCGTAACGCCAGGGCTACCTAGAGCGAGCGGTGACGAGCAAACACTCTGAGCACTAAGACACCCCAGAGCCCATAGTGATGTAACAAGTTTTTAACTCCAGGCTTCCAAGAGCGAGCGGTGACGTCGTAAGCTCTGAACACCAAGGCTCCCAAGATCGAGCGGTGACGCGTGAAAGGTCTGAGCACCAAGGCTCCCAAGAGCCCATAGTGACGTGACAAACCTTAACACCAAGGCTCCCCAAAGCGAGTGGTGACGTTACATGCTGCGAGCACAAAGGCTCCCCAGAGCTCGTTGTGACGTGACAGCCTCATGACGCCGAGGCTCCCAAAAGCGAGCGGTAACGTCACAAGCCCTTGCCACCAGGGCTCCCAATAGCGAGCGGATATGCAAACAGCTCTTAGTATCAAGGCTCCCAAGAGCGAGCGGTGCCACAAGCCATCTCGGGCAAATTTCTGAAGCGTGCTTTTCCGTTTCCGTGCCGGTCCAGGTGACGGGAGGCGCGCCTAGCGTGCGATCCGCGATTCGGGAGAAGTGACATTTGGGGAGGTTGGACGGGGTGACATCTGCGGGCCCAGCGGTCTCACGCGCCCGCGTGAGCTCGCGTAAGCTCCACGAAAGCTCGCGTAACCTGTTGTCTTGGGTGCTTTTCGGGAAATCTCGGTTACGCCAGCCCGCGTAAACTCCGCGTGAACTCCCCGTAAGTTCGCGTAAACTATGCGTAAGCTCCGCTTAAGGTCCTCCCATACTCATAATCATCATCTTCACCACCATCATCATCATTATCAGCATCATCATCATCATCATCATCATCATCATCACCATCATCATCATTTAGCATTCAGTTGCAGTTTCTTTTTTAGTGCTGCCAGACTTGCCCACGCCAGCTGCTTCGACAGTTTCAGCACCAGTACTGCCAGCGACAGACACGGACAATATCAGTCCCCAGGAGGCTCCGTACGACACAGCAGCCAAGGATGAGGCCGCATACTTTCTTTTCTCATAGCAGGCATTTCCTTCGTTACGTTTCGAGGCACCGCGATGCAGCCCCCCAGTGTCAGCACCCCCGATGCGTGGCCCCGAGCGGGGCATTACGAGAACACTGGCTCTCTGCGGCGGACCGTCAATTTTTTCACGAACAGGCTGGCTCCAGTTTGGTTTGGTCCTGGCGCAGGAAAAAATCACCACCATCATTATTAGCACCGCCGCAATAAACATCGCCATCGTCGTTATCGTTACCATTTCCACAGGCAACCTCATCATCGTCGTGTTCGCCATCGTCATCGACTACCGTCATCAAACCATCACCGCCATCATCACAACCATCATAAGCATATGTACGGATCACCATCAGCATCATCATCGTCATCATCGCCATCATCATCGTCGTCATCATCATCATCACCACCGTCAACATCATCATCGTCATCGCTATAACCTCCGAGTGCGCTCGCGTAGCCCTTGTGTAACTACCGTGCGCGCGCTCCAAGATGGCGTAATATAGTCATCGACAAGCAACGATGCAGGAGACTCCCAAAACACCCAAATAGAACCCCCAAGACGGCCTGATGCGATACCGCGCATTGATAGCCCTCCGAACATCGATGGGCGGTCCCGGCAGGGAAAACAGTGCATTCGGGCAGCGGGGCGGTCCAGACGGGGAAACCAACGCGCATCGATGTCCCTCCGAGCACTGGTGGGCGGTCCAGGCGGGGAACACATGATATAGAACAGCGCGGTGTCCACATATGGAAAACTCATGGTTCTAGACAATGGGCGGTCCAAACGGAGAAATCAAAACGATGCAAATGACACTTATGTTCGCGCCCCCGTGTGTTTGAAATTTGCATGTGCGTTGGCCCGCGTAAGCGTCACGTAAGCGTTTAAGCTCTGTGTGCGCGTATTTTAAGACGATCCAGTATGGAATGCTGGGAACGAGCCAGGAAGTCCCCGAGCGCCCGAAGAGGACCCCCCAATAATGCCTGCTGGGATAACACGCGTTGTTTTCCCTCGGAGCACCCATGGGTGGTCCAAACGGGGAGAACACAGTATTCGAGCAGCGGGCGGCCCAAACGGGGAACAACACGCGCATCGATTTTCCCCTGATCGCCTATGAACGGTGCAAGTGTAGAACACGCGACGTGGAACTCGCGTCGGCTTGACCGTTTGTATGCTCGACCATTGCACCGCCCCCCACAGCAGTATTGTCGTCATCGTGTTTGCACGCTTTAATCCAAGAGTATTGATCAGGGTGAGCATGCGTGTGCTCGGGTGCTCGGTAAAGCAGATTGACACTTAGGAACAAGGGAAGGACAAACCGGAAACGCACGCGATCTGTTGTTCTCTACACGTAAGTGCGTTTCCGTCGCAGTGCCAAGCAGATGACGGAACGCGCGCGTAGCGTGTGATCCGTTAGCCCGAAGAGATGCTAGTAGGGCGATGCAGAGGGGGATACCAGCCCCACGCCTCTGGTTTAACACGCCCTACTTTCGGCGCGAGTCGGCCCAAGAGAGCCCAAGGACGGCCCCAGAAACACCCAACACGGCCTCACATATTGTCAAGATTGCCAAGGCGAGGCCCGAGAGAGCCCCAAGACGGTCAAAGGTGTTCCGAGGAGACCCAAGGGCGCTCCAAGACGCCATGATAGGCTTCCAAGATATTTCCCAAGCGAGCCCAAAACGGCGACATTCGTTTCATCTCAGAGCTTTTGACAGTTTTTGAGGTTATCGCCTTCGGTTCCCCAAAGCTCCAAGACGGTCCAAGAGACCTCTCATATCGAACCAAACGGCCCAAAGGGCCCCCAAAACGTCCCCACGGGGGGCAAGGCGGCCCCAAGACGGCCTAAGGGGTTTCCAAGACGGCCCAAGAGGGGGCCCATCTGGGGTAGCAGAATTTTTTTTTTTCGGGTCCTCGCCGAAAGACGGCCCAAGAGGACTCCAAGACAGCCCAAGCGAGTTCCAATACGGCCCGAGAAAGACATCTTGGGCACTTTGGTTCTCAAGATAGCCCCAAGAGGGCTGCAGGAGGTCCCCAAAAGAGCTCCAGAGGGCTTCGAGAGGCCCCCAAGACGGCCCACGCCCCCCAAGACGGCCCAAGTTTGCCACAGGACGACCCAAACCGTCCCCAAGGCGGCCCAAAGGAGCACCAAACGGATCTCCAAGGAGGCCCGTAGCGGCAACAGTTATGTCGGTTCGCAAGGCTTGTTATCAGTCTCTTGCATATTGCACAGAAGTCTTAACACCAAGAGGGCCCCAAGACATTGATTGAGCAAGTCATCGCGCGCCCGTGCAGAGTACGAACGCTTTCCGTCCCCGTGCCATGCAGGTGACGGAAAGAGCGATCTACTAGTAATGGTGTTGAGTTGGGGCGAAGCCTTCTAGGGAGGGGTCCAGGGAAGGGGCGTCGGATCCGCAGCCTGGCGTAACACGCGCGCCCCCACCCTCCCAAGACGGCCCCAACGGCGCCCGAGACAGCTCATGACCCCCCCAAGAGGTGGCCGTTCCTCGCAACTTTTGTGGCGCCGTGCCCCCTAGACTCAGGAATCCATGTCGCTCTGGATGTCTTTACGATTTACTTGAGAACGGCGCTGTTGCTCCAAACTTCCTTGCGATTCATGATGGATTGACGCTTCAGCGACCCGCCCTCTCGATCGGGCCGTCTGGGCCCGCCCGCCCGACCTGCCCGTTAGGGTCTGCCCTCCCGACCCATTCGTCTGGTTCAACCGCTTGTACTCCTGCTCCTAACCCTCCTCCTGCACATCTCCCTCGTGCTCCATCATTCTCCCTCCCCCTTGTCTCTTCCCTCCTCCCTTCCATCCCCTGTTTCAGCGGCTGCGCCAACTACACGCGGCATATAGAGAAGGTATACCCCCAAGGGGGGTACGAACGAATACCAAGAGGACGGGTACCGAGGGTGTTGGGCATACGTGTTGAATTGTACGCAAGCAGATAGGAACGACCAGCCTCAACATGATTGCTGCTGTATGTGTCGTATCCGTAGGCCTAGCAGTGGTGTTCGTATTAGTGGTTGCAGTCTTACTAGTCGTAGTCGTGGTCGTAGTAGTAGTAGTAGTAGTAGTAGTAGTAGTAGTAGTAGTAGTAGTAGTGGTAGTGGTAGTTGTAGTAGTAGTAGTAGTAGTAGTAGTAGTAGTAGTAGTAGTAGTAGTAGTGGTAGTGGCAGTAGTAGTAGTAGTAGTAGTAGTGGTAGTAGTAGTAGTA